AAAATCGTTTTATTTATCATTTATTCTCTTCTCCCTAATTCGATTTTTTTAATCCGGTTCTCTGGTTCCTACAGAAGATGCCTGGTTTTGCTGAGTATTTTGTTCCACATGAAGAATCTCTTGTCGCTGACGAGTTATTTGGAGAAAAACCATGGTTGCATTTGAAGTTGGAACTTATACTTCTCTACGGTTCTCTTTCAAGACCACCGGAGAGTTGTTCCAGTTTAGTACCAAGCTGCACCTTCACTGATCTGGTATGTATGTGGTTTCAGACCTCCTTGTCTAAGAATATAGCTTCTGGATCTCTGGAATTTAGAGAATATATTGTTGGTGATGATGCATTTTGGCACAATTTGGAAGCTAGATACGTACATAGAGAGGGGGAGCTTTGGCTAGAAAAATTTAGGCAGAATCCTGCTTGTGATATTGTTGATATAATCTGCTTAGATCTCGCTGAAGCTATAATTGATTTTCCTGCATTCTTCCATGTTATTGTTGCCATGCTCTTGATGAGTTTTGGAGGATTGCGAGTGATAGCTCCTCATATAGATGGTTTATATATCAAAGATACGGCTGCAAAGATTTTGCAATCTGTTTTGAAGTTACTTGATCAAGTCAACCATGCTCTTGTCATTGGATTTAAAAGAATGGACAAGTTGTCTCCATTGCTTATAGTTGATGGAAAATGGCTAGATTTCTGGATCGATGACTTCAGTTTGTTTTTCACGATTTCAAAGAGTTGTTCAGAAGCATTGTTGTTACACGTTGCTTAGAGGTTCTTGTTGTGTGTTTATCTGAATTGTTTCTAGAGTTTACAAGATGAGTTTCAAATGCATAATGGACGGTCTAAGAAGTTGGAAACAACATCTGATCAGTGTTGTTTCTTGTTCTTGTTGCTGCCATGGCTTCATTTTGTTGAAAGCTATTCTCCATCAAGGTGTCCCAAGTCAGGGGGAGATATGGTCAGGTAGAATCACTAATATGGTTGCTTTGACTAATGGAATTGTGGATTCTATGTTACCCCAAGGATTCGAAAGGAGTATTTCCTTTCATGTTGTGATTTGGTTTGTTTTGTTGCTGCACAAGAATTGCATACATTTGATACATCTAGAAGAAGGTGCTTCCATTTGTGTCTCCAAGGAGCTGATTTCGATTACTAACACATGGAGCCTTCATGGATTTTTCTTAATCACAATAAGGCTTAATGATAATGGCGATGAAGATTCTGCTAGACAATGGATTTGGTTTAGTATTCGTTGCAAAGTCTTTCTAGAAAAGAAGAGCCGTAATTTTGGTTTTATTGAGTTTCTGTATGGTTATTCACCAAGACCACCAGAAGCTTATTTCATTGTTTGGTCTACACAGAGGACGTTTTATGTGGCACAAGCGTGTTACTCTTCTCCAATTTTATGCTTCTCCAATTTCCATACTGTTCGTACCTTCATTGAAAAGGACAAAGAGGTTACAAGCACATGGAAACTTCATTGCCTTCCTCAACACTCATCAAAGACACTCCCTGCAATACATCCTTCAAGTTCTTCAAGTCCATGAGGGTGAGTATTAGAGATATACATCCAATTATACTTGGTTTAGTGATGGTTAAGGTTATGGTTAAGTTCATACTTGGTTTAGTGGTTTTGTATATCTTATATAATATTTTAAGATTTTCCAAACTCAAGTCATGAGAGGATGTCATGTGTCATCTAGTCTTTTGATATTTGTCTTTTATTTTTTTTTTAATTAAAAACAAATTAAGTGTTCTTGAAAAATTAATTCTTACAATCTAATAACTAGGTTTAATATAAATTAATTCCAAATATTAAAGTGTAACATAAAGATGACCAATTTCAATATAATAAGCCAATGAGCCGATAATACTTTAACCATTTTTTTTTGATATCGACCAAAAACTAAAATTCTCAATTAAATGTGTTATTGTGAACTTTTAACGGTTTCAAAAATATATATTTATTTATTAAACACAACAATATACTATAAAAAAACATATAAAACTTTAGATAGGTAACTACTATTTTAAAACAAAAAGTCACAAAAATTAAGTCACAAAAAGTTTTGATAAAAGAAATCGTTACATTAACCAAAAAAATAGTTTGAGAAAATTAGTTAGTGATTTTAAGAATTTTAATGTTGGTAAAATGGTAAAGTTGTCAATCATCTCCTAACCAAGACTCTCGGTAGAAAACTTGTCAATCCCTCTTATTTTTTGGTTGGGTACAGTCCAGTTTGATTTTTGCTTTCTCTGCAGGGTGTTTTGAAAGTAAACCAAATTATTGAGATCCGGCCTGGTATTGTTAGCAAAGATGAGCAAGGAAACCAGAAATGCACTCCCATTTACTCCCGTATCACTTCGTTGTACGCGGAACAGAACGAGCTTCAGTTTGCTGTCCCGGGAGGTCTGATTGGAGTTGGGACAACGATGGATCCTACGCTCACGCGTGCTGATAGGTTGGTTGGTCAAGTCCTTGGTGAAATGGGTTCTCTCCCTGAAGTTTATGCTGAGCTTGAGGTGAGTTTCCAGCTTCTGATGCGTCTCATTGGAGTGAGGACAAAGGAAAAGGAGAAGCAAATGAAAGTGTCAAAGCTAAGCAAGGGAGAGATACTGATGGTGAACATCGGGTCCATGTCTGCGGGAGCTAAGGTTATTGGAGTGAAGAAAGGTTTGATGAAAGTGCAATTGACAGTGCCTGTTTGCACCACTATAAAAGAAAAGGTGGCTCTAAGCCGCCGTGTCGAAAGGCATTGGCGTTTGATCGGCAGCGGTCAGATTGAGGCAGGAACCACCATTCCTGTCCCCCCTCCTCGTCTCTGATTATTTGCATCACAACATCAATAATTTGCATCCAGTCGGAGGCTGGAACTACCATTCTGATTATTTGAATTGTATTTTAAAAAAAAAAACATTTAAGGTGGAATCCAGTTTTGCATTAATGTA